AGAGAGAGAGAGAGAGAGAGAGAGATCTCACCAAAAGGTGCAAGAAATGGCAAAGGGAAGTTGTTAAATTAAAAATGAGTTGGGTGAGGTGATTAACTTCTTCCTATACTTGTGTGACAGTTAAAAATGTTAAATGTAACTTTATACTTGTCTGTATGGTTCATAAAGATTTTTGTGATGGCTACAGTTTGAGCCTGGAGCTAATTCATTCACTATAAGAAAGATTGTTTTAAAATTTGAACAAGTTGAAAGTCAACCACATCACGGAGACGGTATCATGTTTCACTCTAATGACCCTATTTTTGTGCCCGGCACCAATCTAGTACAAATCACTGTACATATTGGTGTGATGGAGTTTTCTTTTTTTTTTTATATTTTCTTCGACTTGCACAGGTGGAGGAGGAAGTTTGGATGGATGGAGCACACACACAGTACTTGGCATTGTGGAAGTAGAAATCGACATAGCTGCGGCCTGTGACAGATTGACACATTCATACATTTAGCGTTTATCCAAGTAAACTGCAAGATTCCCCTTTGTGAAGGATGTAGTCGGCTACGCATGTGACATGGACCATTGGAGACTGCTTTGAACCCCCAATCATGTGGCTGTGTGTGACCCCCCTGACCCTCCCATCACCACCAATAGTTGACTGTTCAAATATTTTTAAAATATCAATGACAATAATTCACTCAATGAACAATGTTTGTCATATTCATTCATGAAATACAATAACATCAGCCACGCATGCGTATAATCTGTCTTCCTGCGCCTCGTTTAAATCCACCAAAATTGTGTCAAACCAACTGCGCCACAAATTAGATCTGCTTTTAGCTAGGCTAAAGTCGAGTCTAGTTTTGGTTATCAAATTGCCAGATTCACCAGGAGCAAGCAAAGGAAAATGCCAGAACACCTGTCAAGTCATTGGAAGGTCTACTAAATTCACTAGCACACTCAACTAGACTTGTCTCGGCACGAAAAAGATGCACCCGTTTTTAAGCCAAGGGCGGTCTACTTTCTCTCATCAGCTCTGCGCCAGCTCTGTCCGCCGAAATGCCCAGCGAAGTGTAACATATCCGCAAACATGATATATTATTCTTGGCCCAGCACGAAGGTAAAGATGCAGCTGTTTTGACATTGAATTCACGGGGCACCAGCCCATCAAAATAGAGCTCCCATGTTTACTGATGGTTCAAAGCCTTTCACTTTTCTCTAAAATTAAATGATGACTGAATATTAATATCAAGAAATCCTTCATTTATTCATGATATCTTGAGCCTCTGTCAGCTCACTATTAGTGGAGTGCCCACTGAACATAGTGCCGGTCAATAGCAGAGGGTTGTTTGAATGGGCTCTTGGAGTGGGAATTTATCTCATGCCAGCTGCACAAAAGTCAGCCATGTGAACCATTTCAC